CCTGTGTCCAAGGGTTTTAAAATAAATTTCCTTACAGTTCTAACAATGAAAAAAGAGTATTTTTGTACATAGAGAGCATTTTAAATAGAAGATAGTGTACAATGAGAAAGGCTGAAAAAGGAATGACCTTGTCATTTGAATGGAAGTGGTTACTCTGACAAAATCCACGGATCCTTATACATTACAACGTACGTTGTGCAGTGATTCAGTGAAGATACTGTAATCCTCTTTTTTCCAGAGATGGGGAAAAATATTTAATTAGAGTGTGACTCAGAAAAAATCTATGATTTACAGTGCTGTAAATGGAAAAAAAAACAAACCCCAAACTCCTGACCATTCGAGCTGTGTTTCGTAGAATAGCAATGTAAATTTTTTGTGTATTTTTAAACTTCCAAGTGTCTCATTAGCGTCCACATTTTGGTAGGTACCTGAGCACAAATCCTGTCCTTCAGGTTCATTTGACTTGCATCCTTCTCATTGTTTCAATGCAACATCATCCACCATCATTGTGTTAAGTAAGCTGTACCAGTAGTAACATAGAGAGAGACTGTAAAGATGTAGCTACAGGTCCCTGATATTTCTTTTTGTATTTCAAGAGATGGCACCATTCCTTTTATGTCAGCTCTGGGACCCATTCTCTGTCATGCTGGGGAATTTTACATCTTTCCAGTGAAGCACAAAACTGATGTACTGTCCCTTAATAGTTGCTGGGTACTGACTGCAAGAGTGATGTTATTATCCCACTGGCTAAATTCCATTCTAGAAACCCAATATTCTTATTATTCCACATGACTAAGGCAATTCATACTCCTTGTTCTAAATCTTGACCATAAAATTACCATGTATTGCTGCAGATGACCAATATTTAACTGTTAGCTTCATTTAATTCCAGTAAGACATGAAGTCATCACTTTATTTGTTAGGCAGCTACTCAGTCCCTTTGGGAGTTTTCAGCATGGAAAATGTGATGTTAGACCTGATGTTATCTGCATATCGGGCACTAATATGGCATTGAAATTGTCTGGAAATTCTTACTTCTGCAGGTCATTCATACAGCCGACTTGGAAGAGAGTCAAAAGATCAGGAAACTGAGCTAGATGACACGTGCTGTCCTTTGGGCACTCTAGGTGGAATTAAGATGTGTGATGAAGCATCAAAGTCTATGCTTGTACTATGAAATAATAGTGGCCCTGTAGCCAGATGGCAAAAAAAGGGACGTCCATACTACATACAGGACTTCTCTTGGGTACCCCATGATGAAGTTGAAGACATTTTTACTATCACTGTTGTTTTGGGTTTTTTTTTAGCTCAAAATGTTTGGAACAAATGTCTGAGGGTGATGCTGCAACAAGTTAAGAGTGGTGCCTTCACAGCCACAGAGACTTGTGTGAAGCTACCTAGAGGTGCTTGAGGGCAGTGTCACCTATTTGCATATGGCAAAGGGAGCCAGGCCTGCTGCAGTCTTTTCCACACTATTTTTCAGTGTTGTTCTACAAACGATACCCAGGAGCTGTCTGGGAAGGTGTTTATAAATAGAAGAAAATGCCAGAGAACGCTAACGGTTTAAGCAGGATGGACAACTGGTGGCCCAATGCCCAGGGATGCTCTGTGGGTCTGTTTCAGTGGAGTTCCTCAGGGTGTGGGATGCAGCATCCTCAGCCATTCATAGGGTTGTTGCTGTTGGGCCAGTCAAAAAGTGCAGGTTTGGTCAGAACAGGTGCACAGTGAGAGGAAAGGAGGGGAATTGCAACAGTGCATAAAGACATCTGCCAGGTAGCCTCTGTCAGGGGTTTTACCTGCTTTGTGGTGACTGTGGCACTCCAAGAAATTAGAGATGTAGTGACAGAGCAAACCCAGAAATTTCAGTGTCTTGTGAAAAGAGTCACAAACACTAAAGAGGTTATCGCATTTTACTCTTTCTTCCCAATGTCTTGTACTGGCAGAATCCCAGATGGCAGAAAATATTTTCCTGAAAGACTAGTTTCCTGTGACTGATACAAGCATGTAACTAGTGCTTAGGCTGTAAAGCTTTCTGGGGATTTAAACTGTAATCAGGAAATAGAGAAAAAAAAAAAAAAAAGACTGAAAACATGTGATATATTCCATCACAAGCTAATGGAAAAGAGCTACGGAAAGGAAGAAGCTTCATTTAGCTAGAAACTAACAGATGCTTGGTCTGTCATTTACATCTCTCCTGGAAAGGTTGAGAAAAATGACAGACATGAAATAAGGGCTCATCCTCTACACGGTGTGATGTTTTAGGGTTTTTTTCTAAAGAGCCTGCATGTTCTTTAATCAAAAAAGGAGTCAAAGGCCATCACTGGTCTAAAGGTTTCAATATTTGCCAGAGAAATACCACAGCACACAAAACAAAGCATTTTTCTTCCTTCATTTAAGACCTTCAGTGAGCTCACCTAATATATGTGAATTTAACAGATGAAGAGAGAAGTTCTTTGTGCCTCTGAGTATTAGGCTGGGTTAGGAGAGACCAAAGGTACGATATGTGCTGGTGATGCTCTGCCTGAAGGAAATGCAGTTTTTTATGATTCAAAGTTTACTTTTGAAACAATGGCACTTTCCCCATAATGTTTTGGTCAAATGCAAAGGAATTCTGTGATCCATGAGAACTAAAATTCACATATCCAGTGGACTGTTCTGTAGTTGGGAATGAGCAAAAGAGGGCCTTAAAATGACATTTTAACACATTTTATTTAGTACATTACAATATCTGCATCGTAAAGTTCTATCTAGCTATACAGGCACAGAAACACAACTCTACACACGTCCCTGCATTGTGCTGAGACTAAACAAAACCAAAATTGTCACCAAAGACTGTCTTTCCAGCAAGGACTGTGGAGGAGGACACCCTGTATTAAAACAGTGCAACAAAGATGTGTCAGTGGAACTTGTTTCAGTGTTGAGGAAAAGGGGTTAGAAATCAATCCGAGTGGAATCAAGAGGGCTGAAAGGCTTCCGAGTTCTGCTACTTTATGTTCCAGCCTTTAAACAAAATCTGGTGGTGTAGGAGCTGCCAAGGTAGGTCAGACCGCTCACTGGTCTGCATAATCCATGAGCTGGTGTCCTTGGGACTAACGCTGTATGCTGCAGAAGAGAGTACTGAAGAACCCCGCAGCTGTAGTGAGAGGTTTCCATGAGGAGCTGTTTCTCTCTGGGCAAGGGATGGAACAGGGCATTGCAGGCGGGTTTGAGTGTTTAATTTGAAGATGCAAACTCCTAGAAGAGCATTTAAAACCCTATAAATAAAAATATGTAAGAAAGTAAAACCCAGGCACAGTCTTATTACTCAAGGTTCTGAGAGCAATTAGGGTAAAACAGAAGTCCTGACTACTAGTAATGCTTTAACACTGCTTTGCAGCTCTTCCATGTGTTGTGGGGGAGTGGAGTCACTGGAGTGGCTGTGCAGAACAATGTCAACCTGGTCTGCGGATACGTAGGCGCTACGTACAACAGGAACCGAAAAACGGTGGGGAACCTTGTCCTGCCCTAGAGGAGAAGGCTGGCTGCCTGGAATACCTGACTTACCAGGGAGAGGACTGTGGCCATGAACACGGTATTATCTCTTTGATCTACCTGTGCCCATTGTGCCCATCAGGGCCTTCATAATTTTACTGATGTCAGTTAACAGGAAAAAAAGCATCTATCTGCAGTTAGCTGGTTAAAAATACAATTTAAACCCTTACTTTCTACTGTCATATCGCTCTTTATTCTATTCTTGTATGTTTTTTCCTTCTCACGCTTTTCTTAATTTCTACTAAGTAAACAACTAAGCTGCAAGCATTCTTTCAGTTTCTTAAGCCCCTCAGTAAGTACCAAGTTATCTCTGTGCAAAGTCAGAACTCAAATTCAGTACAAAATGGGAAACAGAGCTCCTTGTAGGATTCCAGCACATCCTATTTCCTCACAGACTAGATAGCGTGATCTTTAAGGTCCCTTCCAATCCTAACCATTCTATGATTTCTAGATATATTTCTTCTGAAGAAGGAGTGAGCTTAGCGGTAGGGAATGGGGTTGAGGTCTGATGTCGTCAACATTTTATCACTTTTTCAATTAAGTCAGTCAGCATGACTGTCCACAAGCTCCCAATTCATTCACCCTCTGTTACAGTAATTGAAATATGACTCAACTGTGTCTTGCTGCCTTACCATAACTCTTCTTCCTCAGTCCCTGCTTTCATAACTACCTCTGAATACAGTAAAGAAAGAAAACGACGAGCAACATCTTCTCTCTGGCCTTCAGACAAAGAAGAAGCTGGGTAATCTATGTATCCTATGTGTCTCATCTTGTTCAATAGAAAATAGCTGTCTGCAGAGAAATATGCAATTAAATTTGCAATAATTAAACAATAAGCTATAGCTTGTGCTGTTTTTCTCTCCTGCAGTTCATTTGCATGTTCTAGATGTTTTTTATTACTTGCTAATTCTTCCAAATTAGATATTGGGGTCATGGCAAATTGGAGGATAGCTGCTTTTTAAAGGAAAGAGTAAATAATGCTAAACCAAAGCCAAATGTATCCGTAAGTGCAAGTCTGAGAAATCAGATCTAGGTCTCTGAAAAAATAAAATGGGCTGAATGTGATCAGTCTCAAGAGACTTTTTTTTTTTTTTTTTTTAAATTAATTGACACAAGCAGTAAAAAATTTTGTTTGGTTACCAGCAGAGATGGTTATGAAGTTTAAATTAGGCTGTTACTGGGTCTGTAATGCTCGTAATGCTTTACCCTCTGCTACTTTCCCCAGAACAATAAAGCCCATTGGTATTCTTAAAGCCCCTTTTCCATTTTCTCTATTAGCAGCATAGAAAAAACATGGGTTACTGAGATCTGATTTTCAACATAATTTAAGAATACAGACACAACCAGAAAGTTAAATTATACATAAAACACTGGACTGGAGCATGGAATGAGAAATAGTCCATGTAATGTTTTTAAGAATCCATTAATTAGGTTTGGGTCAGAGACAGACTTGTTAGCAATGGTGATGTCTAACTTGCACTTCACAAATACCACCCGCATGATACATAAGTACATCTAAAGTGTATACCTAGCTCGTGCTTTATCTATCATAACTAATTTAGTATTTTTCCTTCTGAGCAGATATTGTGTGGAATTTAAAACAGAATCCCTTTCACACCACTGTGCTTTGGAGAATCGGCCGTATGCGCGATGGATGCAGTACCTACGAGAAGGACATACTGTGTGTGTTGCTTGCCAGCCTCCAGCTATGAATACTGACACACATCATTGTTCTGGAGATGGCCATAATGCAGATGGGTAAAGAAAACCATTTTTCTGCTGTCTTTTCTGTAGCAAAACCCAGTACAGAAGTTAAGACTACTCAAGGTCTCGTTAAGAGCTGCGTTTATTATACCTCAAAACTGAAACAGCTTGTATCACTTGTAGAGCTGATCTGCCCTCTCAGAAATTGCTTTTAAAACCTAGATAAAATTGGGAAATAACTATAGTATAGGAGTTCAGTGCTTCGAATGCTTTATTTACCATTGTGAAGGGATGATGCAACTTCTGTAGTGCAAGAGGTCTTTTACAGCTACAGGCACTTTTACTTAAAAACGGTATTTCCTGCCATAACCCAAATCTGATTTCAGGTTTAACAGTGGTGGGTCAGTACTCCTCTCGAACCTATACACCTGCTTTCTAGAACAGTAATTTTGAACGTAGACACTGAATATTTGGAACAGATTTTTATTTGATCTATAAATTTATCAATATGGGTACTACTCAATACCTCTAGAACCAGCTACTCAATCCACCATCCTGCATTCTGTACTGCCCACTCCAGAAAGCATTTTAAGAGCTAGATGAGCCAATTACAGTCTTAAATTATTAGGCAAATCTAATCTTCTGACATGTTAGACAACACAATGTAGTAACATGAAATACACAGTCTGCAGTGTTTTAATTCCTCATTTATTGTTACATTTCAGAGGTAAAATCTTACACTGGGAAGCAGTTGGCAACTCTCAGTGCCAAGGAACCTGGAAGAAGATTCGGCAACTGGAGCACTGTTCATGTCCCCTTGTGCATAGCTTTATTTTCACGTAAAAGTTTAAAAGACCTGTACAACAGCAACAACAAAAAACATAAAGAAAATTAACACCAATGCCAAGAAACCTACACCTTTCTGCTGTGTTTTCTGGAGCCTAAACAAAATTTGTCTGAACTTTGGAAGAAGCATTTCAGGAAACTCTCTCTGCCTTAATACAAAATGCTAACATTGATCTTTGTATTAGAACACTAGAAGCATGTTTCCATGTTTCTCTTTTGTAATTAAAGAGCTAATATTTCTAACCATAGTAGCTGCTTTTCCTGAAGTTCTCATTCTTTACTGGCCCCGGTCCTGTCTACAGGCACTGCTCCTACTCAGTAGTGAGCCAGCCAAACATTCTCAAGTCTGAGAATAGTTACTGTCATCATTAAATAGCAAGGGTAAATAAAAATGAAAGTTTGAGAGCTAAAACTGGATTTCAGTTTGGCTCTTTTGTTCCTTCCCAATATCATCTAGACAGTTGTTTATACAAGTGGATAAATATTCTTCCTCTACATTGCAGCTTTCATTTTCAGCCACTTTCATAAAAATGTATGACTAGTCAGTGTTGTTAAGGAAGTAATCTTGCTCAGAACTTCATGTCACTAATACATGGTGTGAATCTTATGGCAGACAAACCTAAACAAGACTTTGTGCCTAAAGTCTTGGCTATATATAGATATATATATAAAATTACTTACTACTAGTTAAAACTGCTCACATACAAAGATTAGCATAGAAACCTGCAGTACTGAAGCACTGGCAAGACTGCTATGCAGGTAGCACAAATCCTTGTTTTGTTACCTATTCCTTACCTTGAATTATTGTTACAGCATTAAAGAGGCTGCATACTGCACTTTCTCACTTGTCAGATACCTGCTATGACTTTTTGAGTTGTTGGCTTACAGCTGCTCTAGCATTCCTTGCTGAAGGACAAAGCCTGTATTTTATCAAGATCCTGAAATTCACAATGTTTGCTAAAAAGAAATTACAACTTAAGGCTGAGAAAATTTACTGTTAAGAGATGCAGCATCTCTGTAGAATCTAAAGACTACTGCTTTCTGCTGTTTCTAGCAGCTGCAAGAAGAAACCGTAGTCTCTGGTGGCAAGAATAAGAAAGGTGATTCTGTCCACAAGCGTGAAACAAACCTTTGTATCTGTACTTCACCGTTTTATCTTAATGGAAGCAGGCCTCTAAAAAAGCAGAGACTATCTTAATACTTCCTGAACATTTCAGCCTTCAAGAATATAACTCTTCCTTTGTACCCAGGAAAAATAGCTCAGAGAGGTTATTTTAGTATGACCCGTTTGGAAAGATGCTTTTCATTGTAGGGTTCTTGTAAAATAAAAACCTTATCCAAGGACAAACGTACAGAAAAAATCCGAATTGAAGAGATTTCACTTTTAAAAGCATGCTGTGATATGTTAATTCAAGTCACTAGATTCATACCAGTATGACAGTGGGAAGTATGGGTTTTCTGAGGTTGTGGAACTCTTTTTCCACACAATCTGAATCAAGAGAGACAGCGTAGTACCATCACCCATCTGTTACAGACTCTCAGGAGCAGGACGTTTACAGTGACCAACCGACACCTTGAGAGGTAGTTACTGTCCCTTTCCTGTTGGTCTAGAAGACACTTCTCAAGACAAGGTAGGTGGCAAAAGATAATCAGGAGCTGTGAAGAGCTAGTATCATACTGTTACCTTCCGTATGTTTTCCATCTCTCCTGCAAGATAAAAAGTGCTATTATGCCAATATACATAAATTCAAAATAATCTTCCACCTAGCATGTAAGCTTAATTCCTGTTTTTTTTTTTTTTTTAAAGAAAGCAGCACCTTTATTACTTATAAATATAAAATTACATGGAGTATCATGTTTTTAACTGCCAAAAAAGGAATTGGTTTGTAAAATCAGCAATACCAATAAATACATATTTTTTGGTATAACTTGCTAACAGAGATGACAAGTCTGACCAAAATTTCAAAGTGAAGCAAATCAGATTAGTTACACAGCAGGGTAAAATGGGTTATATGGCAGGAAGTCAAATGATAAAAAGCTCAATCTGACTAGAGATACAGGACTTTAAAAAACCAGAACATTTGACTCGGCATTAGCCTCTATCAAGGTAAACATGTTGCCAGGTATTTAATGTCCCTATGTACATAACTGACCTTTCTTAAATCACTGCAAGCATTTTCACATTTCAGAAATTAGGTCATCTATTGCATGTAGATAAAAGGTCAGGCTTTGCATTTAAGTCATCATTATCCAAGCAAGGGAGCTTACATGAACGTTTTATACCTGTTACTATGCGGTTTCATGTTTTAGGACAACACCACTGCTGGACACTCTGAGACTAAAATAAGTGATTATTCTGAAAAGCCAGACTAGGTCCTTTCGTAGGGAAAGGTTAAGAAGAGTTGATTCCTGTAGTCCATTATTCTTGTTTGATCCTGCACAGTGTTCTCCACCGGTCTTTTAACATGACACTAGTTCGGTTGTTGAAGTCGCCATGGACCAAAATTTTAGCCCAGTTACCCACTCCAAACTCCTTTATTCCCGATTTCAGTTGCAAGTCTTCTTTGTAAGTCCATCGCTAGGGGAAGAACACAGAAAATACCAGATTTATGAACAGAGAAATGTATTAATGTAAGAGCTAAGCTTATAGCAAATATAGAAGCAAGTTTTTATACTGGTTTAGTTCTTACAGAGCACAGTTGTCTGAGAGTCAGTAGGGTCACTTTGATTTCTTTTGAGAAACCATAACTTGACACTAAATACAACAAAATTTACCACCTCAAGTGTTACAACACAGTAGCAGAGATCACCTGGAACCAGAACCCCATGCTTCAAATTTCACAAGTTACAGGGGAAAAAAAACCACACACACACAACAAAAAAAGACTGGAAAACATTTGGCTTCATTGAAAACATGCTTTCCAAAATTGTACTTTATTAGCTAATCAAGCCAAGACACACCTTGATTGATCCTAGTATGAATCACAAGAGAAACCATTTTGTGACACGTTAACCTAGGCACTGAGAATCAAGACACCATTTACCAACAACAAAGGAATTTCAGCATGCTTAGGAAAAACAAATCCCAATATTTAAAATGCTGATAGAAGCAAAATGATACATATTGCATTTGAAAGTGAGATCAGCCATATCCTCAGGTAACACCTACGCATTTGGTTTTGGCCGTTTGTTGAGCCCACTACTTAAGTTTTACTGTCATGACCTACAAGCTTTTTAAGGGATGACATTTCTCTCATAAAAGGAGAAAATTACTTGCAGCTATATATCTCTAAGCAATCCCTCCCAATGAAGTTCTCCAATGTGCCAGTTCTTCCTTAGTTCCTTCTCAATGCAGCTATCTCAATGCAAACAATTTTAGGACTGCATACAGAGTGAAAGAAAATGGAATTTTTTAAAAATCAAATACTTGATTTTTTAAAAACTTACCTTCACAGTTAAGCGTGAGGGAGAACTGAGTATCAACTTTCTTTTATTGTATATATATAAATATGTATATTTAGAACAAAAGTTTACAGATCCTATATATCCCATCATGCATATTTTTAACCATTGCATTTTTAATATAGATTTATTATATATGGTCATTTTTTCAGTCTGGAATAGTGATTTTCAACTTTAATAAGAAATTATTTTAAAACAACTTATTCTGTTAGAATCTAATCCTCCACAAATGTCTTCAAATCCTTGCTTCTTAACAGACAACTAATCATACTGCTGTACAATCAGCACACCTCCTTAGGCAAACTGAGCAGCTTATCATCTATGCAAACACATGTCAGGATTCCCAGTTTAAAAAACTGTGTAGGAAAACTGTTTCTAAAAAGTACATACCAATTTCTGTTTCAAATTGAAGTTTGATAGCATGTTCTTTCTAAATTTATTCCCCAAAATCTGAAATGTAAAGACTTAACTTACAGAAAAGATGTCAACTTCAAAATGTTGATGAGACTGAGATGTACAGAGAATTGTACTTCGTAGCAGTTCCATTTAATTTATCCATGTTAATTTCTGCTTCTTGCACTGGAGATGTCCTGCTGCTCCTGATTTTTGTATGGACCATATTAAGTTATGAAAGGAGACAAATGGTCAATTTTCACTGGTCTCACAGTGGCATTTCTGTGAGCACCAGCAGATTCCATATTAAAAATAATTAGTTACTAGACTTTTACAAAATCTGCATGTGTTTATGTGCATGTCATGAGCAAATGACTGCTGAAATACCAACCAAGAAGCTCTCTCATTTCTGCATGTAAGCACTGCCTGTGCTTTGCTTATTTTGAAGTTGCTCTGAAATGGTAAAAGTCAGTGTTTTTGTTCATAAGAAGCATCTGCAGCTAATAGTGGTCAGCACAATTTAACTGACAAAGGAGTGAACTATTTGTAAAAGGACATCCTATCTAGAGCCTCTTTGTCTAAAGAATTTCATTGGCTGTTTTTATGTACCATATGCTGCTTATCTAAGAGTTTTGGCGAAAAACAGGTTGTAAAAGTTACAGGAACTCTGTCACTGCCCCAGCTGGGCAGAGTTCACACCAGCAAAGGCTGCTTCTCTGCTGCTCCCTTTCCTCTCCTACAGCCATAACAATAAACTGCTCCTGCTCTGACCTGATCCAAATTGCAATTTGTGTTATTTCTGCAACAGCATCTGGTGCCATGGCTGGGATTCACACCGCTTGCTTTG